AGCAGGAGACAACAGAAGCCTGTCAGCTTGCATACAGCAGCTAGCTGCCTGAGATTTAATACACGAAGACTGTCATTGTGGAAAGCTACGGACTGATTTTACGGCCAAACTCATGAGCTATGATTCATATCCAGCAATTTCCAGCTATCCTGCTACAAACTGGCCTATGCCTTCATTTCTCTCTGATCTTCTCTTAAAGGAGTCAGGAGTACTACATTTAACACTATGAGATAAGTTCACGCTTCTCCAAGGCACAGCTTGCTGGAGTAATTTCATTTTATAAGCACAATGGATGAAAATATGAGAGTCCTCATTACACATTTGGAAAGATTTTGAACAAAAACTGCGAGGGAAGGAGTCTGGCTGAACCGATAACAGAACTTCTCCACGTGCATTCAAAGACACTGCAGGAACCCTACAGGAAGGCAAGCAGACAGCCCTATGCAGAAGTCCTACAATTTCACTATCCTCCAACACATTCAACAGATTGCCTTTGAGTTTTAAAGGACAAAAATAAAACCCCCTTCTGCATTTGAAATCAAGCACGTACATTTAGCCCTTTTTAATATCAAGTTTAGAAATAATTCCACAATTTAAACAAGCGCCACAGGGAAACATCTTAGTAACGTTACATGTTTGCCAAGTATGTCTGAATAATGCCAACATAAGAGGTGCTTTTGCAAGGTCTACATTCTCCAGAAAACAAAAACAAAACAAAAATAAAGCACATGAATTTGGGGTTGAGGTTGGAATAGGAGACAGTTCAGACCTGGTTTAATCCTGAGAAAGATGGGTCCTGAGAAGTACTAACAGTCATGCTTCTTTTCCTCTTCCCCACTGGAGATTCTAAACACTGAACAAACAATAGAGGGTGGCAGTGCATCAAACAGTATTGCTTACATTGCAACAATGGCCGGCGCAGACAGGCAACACCGAGGCGTTCGAGAAAGAACAGGGTAGCCAAATGCCATCCTTCTTCCATCAAGCACTGTAGTTTTCAAAAAATTATGTATGTTCATGTTTTTTTTTTTTCCAAGGAGAAAATTTGAAAGATGTGACAAGGTAAATTTCAACTGTGAGCCACTCCAAAATGGCACTGCCTTGACCAGGGATAGCAATGGTGACATTTGGCTCTATTAAAAAAGGAAATTGAATTTTTGCTTACAAAAGCATCCTTTGGTTCCACAAACTGCCCTTCCCCCAAAAGACATTTAGAAAAAGTAAATCTTCAGTAAGGAAGAGGTAGAAGGCATTTAGTCACCTTAAAGTTTACTTTCATAAGCATGCAGGGCTAATTTCTAGCAGAGCTGAAAATTCATTTTTTTAAGGTGGGAGCAAAATTTCTCCCAATCACCAAATTAAAATTTGAAAAAAATTATTATTTTTTTTTTAATATAACTGACAGGAAGCTACTGGAACAAGATTACCATGCTATTCTAGTCTTTGTGGCTCATTTTCTTTAAACTGTGTATAGTCATACCTAAAAAACCTAAAACTACACTTAGTTAGAAAAAGAAATTAAGTAAATACTGTATGGTGGCAAATGTTCCCTAGATAAAGCACTTGGTTCCAAACTGAAGCAACCCATTCCTCATTTTGATCATGTAAACCTATCGATTTGTACTTCTGTCAAGAGCTACCACCCTGACCTCTAAAACCCTGCAACAGTAATGAAGCCCATGCCCACAGACAGTGTTTGCCACCATATCATTACGTGGCTCTAACTAGTCTACTAATGGGAAAAAATATAATGGTTTACAGGCAATTTTGTTTTTCATTTCAGCTGATGCAAATCTAATGTGTTCCTCCACTAAAGTAAGCACAGCAGCATTTTCTAGGCCATTAATCCACATCAAGATGAAACGGAGTGCAGCAATGCCAACCTAGCATGACTGTGCAATAGTACAGAAAAATGGCCCAAAAAGAACAATTGGAAATCAGAAGCTAAAACTAGGAAAAAAAAATTTAAGTTATGCTCTAAGTCATGTAAGAAAACTAAGGAGCCTAACTGCTCAACACAGCAGAGAAAAATAGAGCTCTACAGAGGGGAAAGTATGAAACTTGGGAACAAGCAAAGTTTTAACAGCAACAGGATTACATAAAGACTGCCTTTCAGCTGGACTTACAAGCTTTTCCAACAATGGTTGTATCTAAACATTCAGTGCACTGCACCTCTTCAGACGAGAGCTTTTACCTCATGTTATCAAGCTTTCCCCTTCTAACATTCATGGCCCTGAAGTTGGCATTCATACAGGCAAACAAAGGTAAACATTTTAAACACTAGTAGTGCCTAAAGAGAGGAGACATTCTCTGATGGCATATAGAGAACATAAGTGGGAATCTTGCTTCCAATAAACAGCTTGATCACATACATTTGTCCTGAAGTTAATTTCTATTAAGTAGCATGCTTAATGCATTGCCAATGCTGCCTGTCTGCCCGAGCTCGACATACAAATTGCAGGATTAAGCATATTTCACTCAAGAGAACTAAAATTAAAATAAAAAACACTTTTCTTCTATATAAGGTTTTCAATGGGAAACATGCACCTCTGACTACATTTGCCCATCCAAACAAGGGCAACAACCTCAGCCCACCCCCCACCCTGATTTTTTTCTTTTCCACAAAGTAAATCGAGAGCAGTTTTTTGCTGTACAATATATTCAGGTACTCTACAACTTAAGAGTTTACTATCAACATATTTGCATAAATTCATTTATTTATAAATGCAATTGAAATTCATTTATTTATAAATGCAATTGATCCACATGTTGGCTATTAGCTGTATCCACAATTCTGATGGCTGAAGTCCTCTTTACCAGTCTGTCACTGCAAGATTTAACGCCCTGATGACTGGTAGGTCAGGAGCTCCCACGTTGGCACGAATTCTTTTCATCCCAGGAAGTCAGCCCCAAAGCCAAAGATAAGATTTGACTTTATCATTGAAGAAAAAAATGCTATTACAACAGTTATGTCGATAACGAAACTCCATAATTAAGAAAATTAGCTAAGTATTCTCCAGGGTTAGTTTATAATCTTGTTGCAAGCCCAGAAATCGTCTTTCAATCAAGTGCATCTCACAGGGCAGGTCAGAGACCCACATGTGTATGCCACTGCATTTAGAAGTGGACACTGACAAACCCAAGTTCTCGCATCAAAGAATCATGGTTCAGCATTCAAAACATCGGTTTTAGCATCAAGTTGTTAAGAAGTCGTGCAGCTTGAATCAAGTAACACAGCCATTCCCTTTGGATCTTTTAAACAAAGAGCATTAGACTAACCTTATTACAGTGACGCCCAATACCCATTAGGAAGTTATCTGGTTTAATGTCTCTGTGTATAAAATTCTTTGTGTGCACATATTCAATTCTACTGATCATCTGTAAAAAAAAACCAACAACAAAACAGGTAAGATTTCAATAAGAGGAATACAATTCACTTAAACCTTCAACGAAAGCATGGATTTTTAGTGTTACCTTCCTCTGCAACTTAAGTTTCTGTATTTCCTTAATGAAAACCAAAGATTTTTTTAAATGCTGTTCAAATAAATTTAGCTTTCTTATATGTTAAAATTCCGTATCTTGGTCAGGAAACGGTACATTAAATACCTGTAACTATTTCCCAGATATTTTAAGTTCATTTTTAACTACAGTGTCCCATTAAAGAGTAATTTCTTCTTCTTACTTCTAACAAAGGTTTTCGATACCTACCACAAGACAATTTGAAAGCTCATCCCCTCCCCTCTGTCCCAGTTAGTCATCGATCTGTTTATTCATTCATCATTATCACTTTTCCAGGTAACAGTTTTCATAGAGCAATTAACAACTTGATTGTGGCCCATACTGTCATATCTAGGCTACTGTGATCCAGCAAAGAAGATGCAGAGAAACTCTGGCATATCTGTATCATCACACACAGCCATGCAATTTCCTGTGCGTGAGATCACAGGACATGCATTTATGCGGTACAGTCTTCCAGCTACTAAAACACTCTTCACACAGCCTTTAGTGAGTTGACTAGTTACAACATCATACCCGTGACAGCTGTTCTACTGGACTATGACCTAAAAGCAGTTCCGTGAACTGATATCACATCTATGTTTCCCAGATGATGACTAATTAGTGTTTATCATCCAAACGAATACGCACGAAAGCCATACAGATTCCCTGGAGATGCTCTAACACTCAGACTCTAGCTAACTGAGCAGGCAAATGGCTCTCTAAAGCAAGCATACCACTCACTTAAGGCAGCTGAGAACAGGGACAGCTGACCTTGTCTTCATACAAACACTGTGAGCTTCCTTGGCCAAGAGCCTGGGATTCTACGAGCATCTGGCTAAGTGACAACTTGGTACTAACATCAATTACATAATATTAGATGAAATTTAAACTACCATTGAAAATTCAACTCCAGAAACCCTTACTGCCTTTCGAGTAGCTGAAGACACCAAAATCGACCTATTTATTAAATAGCAAGAAATAAATATGGCTGGTCATTTCAAATGCTGTACTCTCATGACCAAGTTTAAAAAAATATCAATTGCTAGAAAAAGACTAAACACATAGCTACTCCTGATGCCTTAAGTAACAGACCTCAGTTTTAGAGGCCTTGATTAAGCTTGAGGTAGAGTGGCACCTACACTAACAGCTTTAAGAACTGTTTTTAAGCAGCACAACCACCAAAACTGTACTTATTAGCTCAAGGAATGCTACTAGAAGTTACAGGAGGCTGTGAGTGTGTAGTGACATTCAATAAGAACAGATCCGCAGACCTGAATGTTGCCTGCCTGTCATCACAGCTGGCCAACATGTAACAGGTTTCCACTGAATCAGATCAGCCATAACTGGAGACTGCTTCAGACCTTCTACCACCACCCGATTGCTGATACCGGGAGTTAATCCACCCATATTAGACTCAATACTTTATTAGTTGCCTTGTTAGATCTGCAGCATCAAGGAGTTGGTATCTGTGCTGCCTGCCCACTACAGGCTTATGTTCATTTTGTATGCCACAGCACACAAAGCCACCACTACTTCGTTCCTAGATAGGTCAAGTGTTCACTTAGCTATATACAACACTGCATAAAACGTTATTTAACCCACTTAGAGAACCACATTGCACAAAATGCTTTAGGGTTTTCAACTTCCTCTCACTAAGATTTGTACATACCTGGTCTGCTAACATAAGTACTGTTTTCATCGTAAACCTGCGAGAACAGAAGTTGAATAGGTCTTCGAGGCTGGGACCAAGAAGATCCATAACTAGAACATTGTAGTCCTTTTCTTGACCATACCACCTGCAACAAAGAAAATTACTCAGCATTAGCAGGAATCCTAACGCCGCCCAGGATACCATCGGCCCTCTTGGCTCCAAGGGCACAATTGCTGGCTAATGTTCAATCTTGGAAGCTAATCAAAAACTAGGGCTAGTAGTGTCTTATTTTTCCTGGAAACAAAGTCTGAGGACAAAACAGAATACACAAGTTGGCAAGTGTGTGTGTGCACGTATTTAATCTTCCCTTAAGAGGAAACACTACCACACTTTAGCAGCAACTGAAATATCAAACAAATAAAAATGCAATCAAAGCAAAATCCATTACATGTCAATGTACCTAGGTGTGTGTACAAAGTCTGAATGGAAACTCATCTGCAGGACACTTTACACTCCTATCATTGCTTCCTGCAATATATAACTTCACAGTAACATTTCTAAATGCTTTAGGCTTTGTTTTCAGGTATGACTTGTCTGCAATAGACTAAAGCAGCTCATGCAGTTAACTCATACACTTACTACCTCTTAGTTCACTCATCCAAATTTAACATATGGCAATCAAGTTCTACTGTCCTATGAAGTTGAACACAGAGGCTCTTTAATAGGTTCTCAACATCATAAAGGGAAAAACACTTAAGCGTCATAAAAACAAAAATAGAGATGTAGCAATATTTCAGTTGCAGCCAGACTGACCGTGACATCCATCTATTAGCATCTGATATACCAATTTGGAGCAAAAAGTTAAATGCTACCAATGCTGTGAAAACAAGCAGAGGGCTTCCCATGCATATTTTTTCTGCCAATCCACATGTAGCATTTCTATCATAATACTGCTTTATATTATCTGCAACTGGGGGGGATAGTGTTTCACCAACTAAACTGCCTGGAAAGACCTACAAATGTCAGTTGTGAATTTCCATACTTGAAACAGGCACTGAAAGACAGAACCTGAATATTCTTCTCTACAGTACTTCTGCACATTCCAGATACCTACAGTTAAATGAGAGGTGTGTGTGAAAAACTGTATAAAGCTGTGTGGCGTACTAGTACATCACTGTAAAGATTTGACACCTTATCGATCCAAAGGCTGCATTTTGCCTTTGCTAGGCACATAGACCTTATGACAAGGACCCAGGACCAGTAATCCATGGAAAAGGCACTGACCAGCTCTCTCCTGAAGAAGTCTTGAAATTTCCAAGAATGATGGTGCAGACAAGATACACCAAGTATGTATCTCATAATAAGAGCATGTGGATTAAAAAAAAATGCACAAAAAACCAACAAAAATAAGATTCGGCTCAAACACAGTAGTAGCTGGGGCTTAGATCTGTACAGACATTTTATTTTCACTTTAGGCAATGACTCTGTAAGACTAATGCATAGCTGCCTGGAAAATAGGTATCACTGATAAAGCCAACAAATTCCTTGGTACTCGCAGGATTCCAAGCTTAGCTAGGGTAGTAAAATAAAAAGTTTACAAAACCACCAAGGAAAGATTCTATATTTGGATTTATTTCAGGAACTACCGGCCTGTACCTTCCCACTGTCAGGATTCTAGTAGAAACCATGCACTTTGTAATGCATTGTTATAAATTCAACAAAAGTTATATATGGGCTGTGGATCATACTGATTGTTTTACAAGTCAGCCTAGGACCTTTATTGATTCCCTACATCAAGAGGGGATGCAGAAAACATGTATTTTGAAAGCAGTCATTCAAATGAAATGTCAACAAAAGAGTCTTCCTCCACCATGTTAATGATCATAACAATCCTCTATTGGTTTTTGCCTTCTAAAAATTCATTGAATGTACTATAATGTACAAAAAACCCTCACAAGTGACTCAGCTGGGAAAGCATGTTGATGGAATCATTTGATAAAGTCTGTAATTTATGAAAAGGTTAATATTCACACTGAAACCTGACACCAAGCCACGAAACATATGCAATTTGAAAAGACCTGCCTAGCTAGGCCCTTTTAAGGAGTGATCAGAAGACAGTTTCAACTGAAAGAGCAACTAAAAAGAGTATTTAAAAAACCCAATGCAGAGACGGAGAAAGAGTCAAAATGAGATTCTGTTGAGAGAAGTTCTTAGTCAACTAGAAACTAGTTTCAGTTCAAGAATTACTGATTATGCCTGTAAATCTAACTTCTTGGTTCCTACCAAAGTCACCTACGCAAACGGCTGAGTAGTTTTGACAAGGCTCTATAAACAACTCCATAGGTCACAGTTGAAAATGAAATGTTATGGTCATCTAAAGCAATGACCTGTCTAGTTATTCTGTCATACGAAATTTAGACTTGTTGTGAAGTAGTCTACAGAATAACGAGCTGAATTGAAGCATTCTAAGGAGTGAATCAGGATCTAGATAAAACATGATTTTCTTCAAGAAATGGAAGTCCAATTGAGATGCTGAGTGTAATTGTTCAGCACAGTAATGGTTCAGTGCCCAAGAGATTGCAGAATAAGTGAAAAAGATCAAAGGTCAGTCTTCAACTGAGCTAAGAAAATTTAGTTACAGCATCACAGAAAAAGTGGAGCTGATGAAAAGGAAGCCTACCCTGGGAGCTACATTTTCAAAAGCATTTGGTTCCTCTATAGGGATATCTCTGCTTAGTAAGTGAAGTAATTCAGGTTGATTGCACAACCTCCGTTTGGCCTACTTCTGTATATGCACAAGAAAATTTTAATCTGACCATTTTGCACTGGTAGAAAGCAGAATCAACTCTGCAAGACAAATAAGACAGGACCTCTTAACATTTCATGTTTACCTGCCTGTAATTCTTCAGAGAAAACTGCTCCCTCTATTCATTTCACTACTGGCAACTGAAACTTCTGCGAGGTTATTGGAGTAACTTGTGCTTTATTTACTTTGCTAACACTGCAAGCAAGTTTTCATTTCCCTTGGAACGTTTCCAGGGAAAATGGGATTAAGAAGTAAGGCTACATCATGTACCTTCAAAGTCTAGTAGCTGCTACTACTGGCAGCTCTGAGTAAAAACACTAGAAGTCTTGGCTGTTCTTAGGAAGCCTTGGATATGATGATACGTAAGAGCTTGGCAAGTACTCTTTACTCCCATATTTGCATGATCAATGCAGGATGGCATATGAGCATACATTTTGATCAGCACAAATTCGGAGTGCTTTGGAATGCAAGTGTTAACACTACTGGGCTAAAGTGCAAAACAAACTGAGTACAATTCCGAAAAAAAGCTGGTGTGTCAAAGAAATCTTCAGAAGTTTTAATACTGCATCAACAATGAAACTTGGACTGAACTACTAATATAAAGGAATGATCTATACAAAGCCCTGGGCAACTGTTAGATGACACTAGCATCTCAGAATGCAAGCATCCCACACATCTGTTAGAGCTCCATGGATTTTATCTTCTATTTTTTTTTTAAGGCACACCTGGAAGTACTCTCTCTCATACTAAAGTTGAGGAAGCAACAGCAGCAATGCATTTTAATCAGGGAGAGTTTTGGAGGGGAGTGGCAAGTGAGAGTAAGAGATCTAATTACTTGACAGTTCACTTTGGATGGGTAATGACTCTGCACACAGTTACACACAAAGTATCATCTCAAAAAGGAAAGCTAAGTTACTAGACTAGGGAAACTTATTATTTCTCTAATTCACTCTCACAGTGCTGTACGTGCCATTAGGACAGACTTCCTAAATTGAGAATTTTGATTCTGTAGCTCAGGTCTGTTTATTATCTACTTATGTCAAAAAAACAAAGTACGGATTATTACCAGCTCTCCTGAAGAACAGCAGTAGATTATTTTATTGAAGACTATACCAAAGGTTAACCGGAAAACATTGTTACGAAGAGCTAAGTGTTACTGTTGAACAGGCAGCATAACACTAACATCTGATACCCCAGTCCACACTCAAACTGTAAGGCACACCCAAGCTCAACACGTGCATGAAAAATGCTTTGTCACTCTCCCTTCCCTCATCTGTTTAAAACTACAGATCAAATTACTACAAATCAGTTAGAATACAGTAAACATCCTTTATGAGGCTTTCCATCAAAGCATGGTTAAAGATTGAACGCAATGACCTTAATTTGACTTAAGTGACTTGTCTAATTCAAAAGACCAAGACTCACCACGTCAGCAAGTTTCCAAATCATGCGGTTTAGCAGCCTGATATATTGCCCCAGTGTACGCACACAGCTGAAACTTTTTGTAACATCCTGAATTTCAGTATTTGTAGCTCTAAGCTGTTTGAAAATATTTGGTTTCCAAATCCCATACAGTAAAGTGGATATGACACCAGATCACATGACAAGTTAATGTTTACTTGAGCTCATGTGGGGCAGTTTGTTTTTTTTTTTTAATTCCCTTGACTAACCTTGACATAAGCAAGTGAAGTATTGATGCATGTTTAACACTTAGTAGCAAATACTGCAGTCAGGTCTACTCAAACTTACAATCGCTTTCTGTTTTCAGAGCTGCAACTTCCAAAAATTGTATGATGTCTATTTCAGCAACTACATATTTCATAAATAATGACAAAATAAATGTTTGACAAAATGTTTTTTAATTGTTTGTTTTTTAACTGAGAAAATATTTCATACAGTTATTATAATATTCTCCTCACATCTAGTGTATCTTCCTTTGAAAGGGTCAAATTGAGGTAGGTCAGTTAAAGAGAGGTGAGTGAAGGGCTAACGGAATTCAGACACAGCCTATGAAATTATAGTTTCAGACTACTGTACCACTTACACAAATCTCAACTTCAGATCAAGATTAACTAAATTAATAACTGTACAATCGTTAATCATGGTTAAAGACACTCCAAATCCCATGCTTTCTGAAACCATGAAGGCAGTAAAGGCATTGTTGCCATTGGTATGTCATTTTGTCTTCTTGTACATGAAACCAGAACACCAGCTCAGTATCACAAGAAAGCATTCCTACTACCAGAGCAACTGCAACAAGACTATTCTGTTCCAGCTTCAAAAAAGCTCTCCTCAATCAACACATGATATGCCAGGTAGCCTATCCTCCACCAAAGGCT